CAGTTTCTTTCGAAGCTCACCCCTTTATTCGTGCAATATGCATATTGTTTACCTTTCAGTCTGATGACAACTATGGTGACAATGATGTGGGCGAGTCTAGATATGGTAACACTTGATAGTCTTCAGGTGTTCAAAGATCAAAGTTTGATTCAGATTTGGAGCGCCTTTTTATTCACGCTCTATCATGCAGCATCGCTCATTGTTCTTTTAAACATGTTGATTGCAATGATGAGCAACTCATATCAACGAGTGGAGGTATTTAAACCGTTGTTGGTAGAATGCATAGAATAAGAACGTGTTCTCCCCGGAGAGTCTCGATGTGGTGATGGCTTTTACGGCTAACGGTTAAAATTTTGCCCATTATACTGCTAACAATTAATTTCTTTCTATTACGGTTTACAGAAATATTTAACAAAATTTCAATCATTTCGAAAAGTTAGTTATTAATAATCAATATTCTAAAACACAGTCACTTGCTCGCTTTTGACATAGAGTAATTTCATATTTTCCTTCATTGGCCACAAGAAAAGACACATGAAAGTCTAAGATTTTGACACTTTTAAAATTGCATAACGTGTACAGAAAATTTATTTATGGTGAACTTTTTTTTCTATTGCACGGTTAAAATTTGTCAATTTTTTACACCTAACGGCTAACTTTTTCTGCCGATTTAAGGCTAACAGTAAAACTCATTGAGACTCTCTTCAGTGATTTGCTCAAAAGACAGTAAAGATTTCAAGGGATCTGGGGAAAGTCATATTAACATTCGTTGACCTGGTTTTTTTTCAACCAATCGATTAAAATTTGTATAAAAATTTATATCTTTACAGCAAATTTCTTATCAAATGTCATCAATCTGAGTAAACATGAAAATGTCACTTGCAAACAAATGCTTTATGATCTTGAAAAAAAGGCTGTCTCTAAAATAAACTTTCTCAATGGCTGACGGAAATAGCTGTCTTCCAGAGGAAATTTTTAATATGTTAGTAAATAATAGAAGTGGGCACTCATTTTTCACCTGCTCGTTTAACTGACAAATTTCCAGATCCCTTGTCATTCAGTTAACAAACACCTTTCTTGTGCATATCAACTCGCCATTGATTGCAGCAAATTAGTCTCAAACCCAGACTTCTCTCGCTTTTTTTGTTTTCCTCTATTTCTCTTAGGACAACATTGAGACAGAATATAAGTTTGCTCGCGCCCAACTATGGGCTGATTACATCGGAGATGGAGTTGCTACTCTCCCTCCCCCTCTTAATCTCATACCTTCTCCGAAGAGTATTGTGCGTTGGGCTTGTAAACTAACAAACAGATGCTTTGGAGTTCCTAGGAGATTGCCTTGTTGCACCAACGTAAGTATTAATTTTATTTCATTCACAGACTGAGACATTGGCCTTCGGAATTAATTTATATTTTTGTACACAAAGCACGCTTTTTTTTCGTTCTATATTCATCTGTAAATATTCTGACCGAGGCACTAGCTATGCCTAAACGTTTACTTAACGGCAGCTTAGATATAAGTTTAGGCTCAACTCAAGATGTTTTTCACTAAAATTTGCCCATTACAACACTCTTTAATTGACAGTCGAAAAAAACGAAACCAAAGTAAACACTACAGCTGATCATAACAAAGAATAACATTATCATTTGCCAATGAAACTCTTCGTAAAAAATGGAAAACCACCAAAAGCTCGGGAAAATGCGGCTGACCGAGCCACGATTGGTGCCCGTTTTGCGTCTGATTTGTTGAGCGGATGGCGCAAAGTTTTTCTGGACGAATCACAGGGCGAAATGAAGCAAAAACAAAAGTCTTGAGTCTTGACTACGATAACATATTCTTCAGAACTCCCACTTCAATTTGCATCTCAGTGAAACATTGTGGTTATCTAATCATTTGGTTATTATTTGTTTATTAATCATTAACGTTTTCTTGCACATACAGGAACAATTTCGTGTTTACCATGAAAGCAACATGGATATTGAACAGAAGAAACAAAACTATCAGGTGCACACGGCTTTAAAATGAATTATATATATTATGACCGTATGCAGTTTTTTAACCGAAAAAGCTCCCTTACGTTTTATTTAGTGCTCGCAAATACGACACTTATCTTGAGAGAATACGATAAGGTGAGAGCCTCGATTCGATTGTAGAGTGGAATTATGCTTGAAAGTAATCATGGGAAGGAAAACAAGAGTAACGGAAACGGAGGGAACTTTAAGTCTCATCAACATGGATAAATAGAGTGGAAACGGCATATCAGCATAGCCCTTTTGAAACAGCAAATTCTGAGAACCAACTGCATAAATGGCAATGTTAGGTTGTTCAAAGAACAAAAGGTGGCGAGAAATATCTTAGTCTAGCTGATTTCCAATATGCTTTCATTTTCAAGAATGTTGTCCGAGAGCTTATCAGACGTTACTGGGCCCGGCGAAGACGTCAGAAAACTACTACAGAGAATGCCATTCCCGATCACCTGGCTGCCATGGCAACAGTTAGGGACCAGGTTTCCGACATGTTGAGCGAAATAAGGAATATCCTAAAAACAAATAAACAAAGGAAAGATCGAGATCGACATCAGTTGTCAGACGAGGGTCATTTACAGGTAAATAACAATGAGCTGTCAGAAGTTACATAGTGCAATGTGTGTACGTAACTGGTTGATGTAGACTGTAAGTCAATTTATTGATTTCATATCTCTCAAATGGACGGTATCGGATGGCCGGCGTGGAAGAATGTTATCTTGGTATGTTCATAATATTTCTCAATCGTTTGAATCGCGTACTCGTGAGGAATATTGTCAGCACTAGAAGATGAAATTCGTAAAGAGCATGTAGCGTTCTGTTCATTATATTTATGCTACACAACTGAATCAGGAAAATTGTAAAACACATTTTAAAAGCACCGAATGCAGACATCGCCTGCACGTAAATTCAACTCGAAGAAATGCTGGGTCTTTTGAGATAAAGAATAACACCAGTCCTCATGACAAAAAAGGTTCATACTTGGGAAATTAGCTGGCAAAATACAACAAAGAAAGGCTTTAGTTAATTATAATTGCTCTTCTTTGCAGACGGGAGAGTCCTCCGCGGCCAATGGAAATCATAATCACGTACAGCTTTAATCATGATCACTGATAAAGAGACATTTGGTTATATTTCTAAAATACATCCAGCTACTGAAAATTACAACTTACGGTGAAATTCTTTGATGAACGAAACTGTGAACTGAAATATTGAGTGAAATATTACATGAAGTTGGTGCGTGAAGGCAACAAGAAATTCTGTGGGTGGCAAAATATCTGTTCACTCCTTGTGTGGAATTATTCTCTGGCGCGCTATCGCAAAGTGTTTCTCTCTCTCTAGCGTGTGTGAGCATGCCTTAATCATTAGCGCTTCAGCACCAGCATTTCTTCAAAAATATGAGGTCTTGAGCAACGTGGAAGGTCTGTAAGGGATCTAGCACTGATGGCAGATTCTTAGGCAACCTTTTCCCAACTCCTACGATCCGTCTAAGAACTTCCCGCGAGTGGACAAACGCGCGTCTTGCAGTTCTATTTAAGAAGGCCTGTTGGCGAGCTCGTTTTTTCTCCGTTTGAAATTTCACGCAACGGGACGGGAAAGGTTGCCTGACATCCCGGGGAGATTCGTGTAATGAGATCCTGATTGTGCTTACCATCTTTTTTTTTCAAGTTTCTTCAGCTAATCTAATATTAAAAACTGGAGAAATGGCCAAGTATCGATTATGATACCGATTAAGTAAAAATTAAGGATATTGCAAAAAGCTTGCCCGATAGTTTTAAATTGAAGATCTACATTAAGCCAGGAATTCAGCTGACAAATAGTAATTTCTCCAAAGCGCAGTTCAATTTTGTAGTTGTTCGTAGTTTGGAAGTAAGGTCAATGTTATAGCATATTTTTGTAGGTAATGTAGCGTTTTGAAACTTTGCATTGTAGAAATTGTTTGAAAATAGAGACGGAATGGTTAGCTAACCTTGTTACTGTGTAACTTTTTGATAAGAAAGATGTCCACGCTGACATTTTTTCTTTTGTACATAAATACACTCATTCTCATAGCAAAATAGTAATTATAGTTGTCTTTTATTGACGCACGTAAGTTAAACTGGTGTGAATGCTTCAATAGTGAACAAATGCGCCCACAACGGCAGTTAAATGAAGGCCAGAGATAACCGCTGGACACTAAAGCGTGACATCTTAAAGGCTTTTCGTTGGCGTTACGTCTCGAAACTAAAGTCTCTGACCTTCAAATGTTACTTTGTCCCCTGCATTGACATGGCGACCTCGTTTTAAGTACTTAACAAAAGCAGCAGAGGAAAAAGCTTCTGGTATTTACTGCACATAGGGCGACGTACAAAAAGCGTTTCAAACGAAGATCACAAATGTAAGTCAAAAATCCCCCTTTAAAGTTTGTACAATGTTGGGAGATTGAAAGGAAGTCATAAAAGCTTTAAACTTATGAATTAAACGGAATAAAAAGAGACAAGATAGGGCCCAAAGTGCTTACAAATTTACCCCAAATCAAAAGAGAGTTTACTATACCATATATGGGCAAAAATATTGGAGCCTTTTGCAAATGTAAATGTTTAAAAGAACCCAGCATGTTAAAATTAACATAGTTATTTTTATTTTAATGATGCCAGGGTGATATGCGAAAAGTGATATACGGAAAGTGCTCGCAAACCTTATTAACAATAAGATTTAGTTCCATAAATCCTATATCCTATCAGTTGTAACTTGGACACCTCATATGAAATTTTATATCAGTTGCACAAAACTGATTTGAGATAACATTTCATATGACAAGCCAAGTTAGACTTATTCTTTGTTGAAGAAATTACTTTGTATGATTATGTTTTCTATTTTCAATGTATAGTTATTTTTTGAAATTTTTATATTTTCAATGGATACCACGAATGTTCTTGATAAAAAAAATTAAATTTTTATCTGGGTCAAAGGTATTTGTGGTAACCATCGGTTCTTCAATAAAAATTTTTTTGATTAGGTTTTGGTGCTGGATGTGCTAAGTAATTTCCAGTCACATTAGTTATTATTGGATGTTGATCATATAAAACAGATACAGGATATACTGGGGGCTGATATGGAGCTTTATTGACCTGAGTGTAGACATCAGTCGGACGTATGAAGTTTTGGGAGTAAGGCGAGGGGAAAAGAGGACATGCTGTAAACGTTGAAGAGACGCTTGTTGCTCTTTGCTCCTCAATGGCAGATGAGCTGATACGTGATGGATTCGGGATGAGATGCTGCCTTGGGGAAATGACCAAAGACTTGCCTTTATGTGGTAAAGGTTTTCCCAAAATGTGTGGATGTGTCAATTTACGGTTTGATCCTAGAGTCGGAATGCAGGGCGACAACAAGATAGGGCGAGACTCACTCCCATCTCCAGTGTTCCGAGGTGCAATGAAGCCGGTCTCCTGAACTGGAAAAGTTTCGGGACAAATTACTGACAGAGCAACATAACCTGGTTCATTTTGCCCCACGATGTTTCGCGGTGAACTGGATGGCGATAATTTCGGAATCGGAGGTTGCTTTGGGTAGATGACTGGCCGTGGGATCTCAGTCTTGTGTGATCCAGAGTCCTCTTCAATACACGGAGATAAATTGAGATGGGATGATTTTGGATTCAGTAAGATGATTGCGGGGTTAGAACTATGGAATGTTTCCCAGAAGTTGCAGTAAGATATGACATGGGGAGACGCCATTCGTTGTACAGTATTTGCTGCGGGAGATTCTGGTGTGTCTTCTCCATGTGAATCAGGTTTTATCTCGTTTTCTGCTCGAGGAGAAACTTTCCTTGCACGGAACACCCTTTTACAGCGTCTTGTTACTCCGGGGAGGTAATTATACGGAAGTTTGTCAAACTTGTAAGTCGTCTTTTGCCCCCTAACCTGGAAAAAAAGTTAGCAACGTTCATGCTAATGTGACATGAGCAAAGTGCAATGTGCCGATGTACAAAGGCATCTAAGCATACAGAGCTTTGAATAAAGAAGGGTATGTTTCTGAAGAGACCATGGTGCCGCGTCGGCCAGGTATTACAGGAGAATTTGGTTTTTTCAACTGAGTTGAGAATGCAAATTGGCCACCATAAAATGTTTCTAAGGCTGATATTTCGAGCGCTAGCCATTCGTCAGAGAAAATGATAAGTGAATTAATAATGATCGTGATGAAGTGGCTTTTAGCACTGGCACATCCACGGAATGACTCCTCGTCCATTGTTTTCCAGTTTCGAAGTAGGATTTTGATAATAATATGTCTTTATTCGTTTATAGGATTAAAATATATTTGCTATGTTACAAGTTAAAAATCTAAAGCATACAAAGTATGAAAGGTGCAGAAAAATCCCCTATTCTAATGCTAAATTATATTTAAAGACTAATCTATTTACATAGATATTCAAAGAGCGGACCGTATTGATCATGGGTTTTTCAGAGGAATTCCTTCTAAGGTTATAACGGGTAGATTTGATTCTAGGTAGAGAAGGCAGGAGAGGATAATTTACAGTGTTAGATACTTTCTTGAATATGTTACGGTCTTGTATTTCCAGAAGGTTGTTAACATTGATATATTTAGAACAGAACTGACGTTTAAAACAGCGATCAAGGAAGCCTTGTTCAGTGGAGGGAACCATAAACAGCTAAGCCGTAAAGAAAATTTGGCAAAACAAGAGTTTTGAATAGATGATTAATTTCGGATTCATTGTAACTTTCTCTGCGCAAAGTTCTTAAGATATGTAGGCATTTGGCATTCCAATTTTTCATTCTTACCTTCGTAATAATTCCATCAGTGTAATACTGTCTCAAAGCTCGACTAAGTTTGTCATAGGTCATGCCTTGTCTACCATTTTCGAAGCCCCATAATTTTGCCACAGCTTCTGTCTTGATAATTCTGAATTCTCCCTTCTCCTGTCTCGTCCACATTATCAATGACTGACATCTTTTGTCTGCAAGGAGTTCTAATAGAAACTCCCAAAGATGCATCCTGTTCTTAAAATGCTTTCTTCGTGTTTGCTTTGGATACTGATCTGTGCACGTGGCAAAGACAACAATAAATGAGACTTAAACAAGAAAAGATTGGAACGGATATTCATAAAATTTCAAAGGCGCCATAACTGCTGAAATAACATGAACAGCTGACGAAAAGGTTTTAATTTTTTTATGGATTCTTCTTGATATTAATTGTCTTCCAAATACAATCCATCTTTAAGGGTCTCAAAGAAACAAAATGGTTTCCCGTTCGGCTATGATTACCAACGGGGAAATTATTTGGGTAAACGTTGTAGCTGTTTGTGGAACCTTAAATAATTACTCTCAGAATGCTATGTTATCGGAAAGTAGAAAAAGAAATTTAGCCATTAGAAGAAACATTCAGAAGTTCTGCGAATCCGCAAGAACGCGAGTCAGGAGTTTTGACTTTGAGAATTGAAGACAGGAACTTTTGGAGCTGTTTTTTTTTATAATTGCTATTTTCAAATATGGATCTGCAAATTGCTGTTTGATATTGAATGATGTCTGACTCGTGAGTTGGTCAGTATTTGAGGTATATATAAAAAAAAAAATTCACCCCAGCAGAGAAAGAAGTGGATGTCTTTCTCCAGTTCGATGATTAATTTTTGTGTGTTTTCAATCTTGCTTTTTTCAATTCAAGATCTTTCTTCCTAACTCAATGATATTACCATTTACTAATTACTGCTATATTTGAGAATGAAGCTTATGGTAAATTTTACCTTGTCTCCAAATAATTACAATTTTACGTAATAGTGTAATTAAGGATATTGAACAAGTCCAGTTGTGATGCTCACACAAAATTAAAACCAAATTTGTAGAAATTCCACCTCCTTAATTTTCATAGCTCTACTAAGCCAATTCATGTTCTCTCTGAAGATTATTCGATAATATTTTCGTTATCTATGGCTACAACAACAAGGCGTGCAAAATCCTTTCGTCCAGCACTTTGTAATACAAGTAATCGGAAATTTTGCATTTCCCAACAGGTCCAAACTTTTTCAGTAATCTTACTCCAGTTACTAATAACTCGCCTTTTGTTGATAATTAGAAAATTCACCGTCAACAATTATTGACTCAATGATAAACTGATTTTCATATAAATACGTCTCTCGAGATAGTTGAAGTCTAAATCATTCATCCAGCATTTTTGGAAGAAAACTTATGCTAAAAAAGACTAATCTAGTTTTATTAGGTACCTTGGCCATGTATTTACCATAGAACTGAGTTACTTTATAAATCAGAGTTATACATATGATATGCGTGGAGGTAAGGGAAAAACATTTTCACAGCAGTGCCCTCGACGTCGAAATAATTATCACAGCTGAATGAAGTGGAATAATGGCAAATACATTTCAATTTAAATTATACGCCGAGGATAACTTGATGTTTTTTTGCAAAACACCCGCAGATGATTTGAAACGGAAAATACATAGAAATCTATCTCAGGAATTTGATCCAACTTAAGTGTGGGATCTTAAGAGTTTAAACTGCGAAACAACTACTCTGTTTATGAACATGCTTACGTACCTTTTCCATTAGGGATGGAGAAAGCTTTCTTTTCAGCGTCCATCTTTGTTTAGAGCAGAGGGAAGATGAAATGGCTTAATGCCCTCTGAACCGGATCTTAAATAGGGTAAAATTCGCTTTCGATTGCAGACCAAATTTAGGTCAAGGAAGTACAATGTATTATGATATTTGGGAGCCCTAAGTTCAAGAACCTCCACGGGAAGTTGAACCTGCGATATAATTAGACACGATCATATTACTGAACAATCAGTCGAGTTTCGATGCACTTGGTTAGGCTCACGCCCCTAATAGAGTAGCATAACAATTTTGCGGTGTGAAGATTCAGGGATGTATTTTTATCGTTCAAGATGAGTCAAATTTCTGCCGGGAACAAACGATTGCGGTTTTTTTGTTCAACCTTACGGTACACTATAATATCAGAGACTTTTGACTAATTCTGTCAGATTATAATATTACTATATTTGGATGCAGACTATCTGTCCCAGCTAAGACATCTATCGCTATAGTGGCTCAAGTATTAAAATTGGATTTTTTTTTATTCTAGACTGAGGATAGTAAATTTTTTAGCGTTTCATTTTGCCGGATGTTATCTTCGTTTTGTTCTGCTTTGTTTTGTTTTTCTTTGTTGTTGTTGAAGTGGGAACTTATTTGTGCTGATCGAGGAAAATCTGTAACTTCCTTGTTACACAGCCGGGTATTTGTAAAATAGGTTTGGGACTTGGTAGAAAAAATGGTGCAGTTAGTTTATTACACCAGGTGACACACTTGGTAATCATGTTATGATGAGATTATCAGTGGTAAGACTTCAGACATTTTTAATCCTGAAATCAAGTTCAATCGACCAGATGAAGTCTTCATGAAAAACACAGGAAGTTTAAGTAACGGATGAGAAGTTTCCAAAGTAAGCTCCCACTTCCACTTTACATCAGAGCCGAATGAACATCCAACAGTGTTTGTTCCTCGAACTTTGCTTTTGTTTTGCAATAACCAGATCATTTAAAGAAACACTTATCACAGGTGCACAGAATAAACTTCTGATTATATGCAAGAGCCTGAAAAATTGATTCTATAACTCTCTGCCATTCTGTGATCTTAAGTGTTCCTCTTTGCTTTAAAAATAGAACAGAGCATAAAGTCCTTGAAAGCAGACATCAGATTAAATTGTATTTAACCTCATTTGAGCTTGTATTTCCGCTAATAATGTGTCTTTCATTATTATAAACTGTATAAAGTACAGGTGCCAAATAGACGTTTGTCAATGAGCCAAACGGATGAGCTCCTCCCAGAGCAGATAAGTTGAATTGGGTCTATAGTTCCAGTTTAATCAACCGTACAATTGCTACACGACTCGATCTCATTGATTGAGTTGAAATCGTATCTTCGTCACAAAACCGTTCACAGTATTTACTTTGGGTTTTACGCTGGCAATAAAATAGATGAGGGATAAAAATCGTTTGTGAATAGCCCATAATTCGCTTAAATTGGAATGAAAATACTTCATTTTTGTGTGAAAATGATATTCTTTCTGTCTACTTGCGCTAAATTGCCCAGAAAACTTGCAAGATTCAATAGCCAAAAGCGTTTTTACGCAAACAACATTTGACAGAAGGTGGACCACCGATTATTGATGACTTATGGAGATGCATCAATGCGCAAGACCGGAAGTGTTTGCCACGTGTAAAATTCTTGACAGAAAAAAAGTACAACCAAATCAAAGTTCTATTCTTGTCGAGAACAAGATTTTTTTGCCAGCTCAGAAAAATCTGAACTAGTTCTGAGTTTTCCCTCCATATAATCAAAGCCGATGAGCTAACCGTCCCTAACTCAACCCAGGAAATTTCAAGATATTTAAGGAACAACTTCAGCGAGGTTAGTTTGTTTTTACTCAGAGCGAGCTTTCGGTTGAGACTGTTCTTTCCCATTCAAATCCTTACAGTTTGCCCATTGTGCGATGTACACATTTTTATACGCACTAAATTCACGGAGGGTCATAGTACGAGCTTGGGCTACCTGTGGCATAATTAGAGTCTTAAAACCCAGAGAGAGGAGAAGTAGCTTTTGACTTCATTTCCAGTAAAAAAATTCCTCGTACAATTGTGCCGTCGAGTCTCGCGACTTGGTATCGTTTATTCACCGTGAGCACAAGCTGTTCCCGCGAGACTTCCTGATTGCCGTTTGTGTATCGCCACTACGTGATAATTACTTGTTACTAATTATTTGATTAGTTGTATTGTGAACATGTTTATGCTTTCATATCGTCCCAAATGTTACGTAATTTATAAAGGGGAGTTTGTTTTGATTTCTGTATTAATTTAAGCCTGTATATCAATGTTTACATTCACTTTTTAGAAGCAGCTTCGTCGATGCACCGTTAAGTAAATATCTTTCTTTCTTGTGAATTTTTTTCTACAAGTTTTCGTTCTCTTGTATATATTTAAGAAACGTGTCTAAAATCAGACATTAGTGTCTAACAACGGACACCAGAGTCCACATCATAAAATCGAACACTAATGTTCAAATTTAAAAATCAGACCAAAGTGTCCAAATTGTAAATTCGGACACCTCTGTCCAAATTATAATATCGAACGCTACTTTCCGCATTATAAAATTGGACATTAGTGTCCAAGTTATAAAATCAAACAGAAGTGTCCAAACTAGAAAATCGTGCACTAATGTCCAAATTGTAAAATCGGACACTAGTGTCCAAATTATAGAGTCGGACAGTAGTGTCTGAAATGGGACACGAGGGTTTAAAATCCAAATTGTCAAATCAGACAGTAGTGTCTAGAATCGGAAACTTGTGTCTAAATTGAGACAGCGGTGTCATAAGATAGCCATTAGTATCCAAAATCAGACAATAGTGGTCAAAGACCGACACTAGTGTTTAACTCAGACGCTTGTGCCTTAAACCGACTCTGGTGTCTTAAACCAACACTGATGTCAGAAATCGATTACTAATGTCTGAATTTAAACATAAGTATTTAAAATGGGACTCCCGTGGTTAAAATTGGACACTTATGTCTAAAATCGGACTCCGGTGTCTAAAATCATACACTAATGTTTAAAATATGACACAAGCGCACATGCCATGGATTTGCGAGTTACATACATACTCAAACATGCTCATTTTCTCCTCCTTTCCCCCCTTCTTTAGCCTGCTATACAGTTGTTCGTTTATGTTTAAAGTAGTGTCTTATTTTTACGGACGTACACTTACATCACGACTAAGTATTATTGCCTTGATAAGCTACCAAATTTTCTAAGCTATGGTGCTGCGCCGCGCGCACGATGTGAGCCTCGGCATGATTCAATAAATCTTATACCATAGCCTATTTTTTCTTTTAGTTGTCACTTGCGGATCAATATCAGTATCTGGACAACTGCCCACCTACCCCTCCCCTAACCCAACATTAACCCTAACTTGTTATCAATTGACTCTTGTTGAGTTAGGGGAGGGGTAGGTGGGCAGTTACCCAGATACTGATATTGATCCTTACTTGCAAACCCACCATGTTACTGTTCTCCATCCTTAAAAAGCTTACTTTTCCTCTAATCAGTCAACCCTTTAATGCAGATGTTGTCTGAAAGGACAGATCAGAGTGTCTTAGGAGAAGTGTCTGCGCTAAAGAAGTCATGATGGCGACTTCACTCTGTGTCATTTTTCAATGCAGTCTAAAGAATATTTGAGAAGAAATAATAATAATAATGATAATAATAATATACATATGGCACTACTTCTATTGCTATCCAATAGCGCTTCACAATGACTGAAATAAACATAAAGTGCTTGATAATCTCGACCGGCAGGAGGCAGACCAGTCCAGCACCCTAACCGCTTGGCCACGCCTCCTCCCTGGTCTTGCGTTTGGGGAACACACAAACTATCAACGGGGAGAAGCTGTCAGGATATATTTTGGGAATATTTTGTGCAAACACTGGAGAGAGATGAACGTCAGTCTCTCCCATGGTTTGACTCACCCTCAAAACCAAGATAACATATTTTATTCACCATGGCTAGAAAAAAGTTCTTTATTGTATTTAGTAGTTACTGTTTTCGAGACCTTTTTCATATTTCGACAGCTAAACCATTAACATCTTTTTATGAGTCACTATATGAATTTAAAAAAACTGGAAGTGGGGAAATAGACGCAACTTCTTTGGATGTGTCAGTTGATATCTAAAAATTGAAATGATTCGCCCGTACATCTAGAGTTCGTTATTACCTCTATTCAGATCCTATCCTTCAAAAAAATGTTTTCTGTCGATTAATCTAATTAGATATTCTCCTTTTGCAATATAACAACAAAAAAATAAAATTGGTTGTGTTATGTAAATTTTTACTTCTTCAATACTAAGATGGCATGTAGAAAAGTCTATTTCTAACGAATTCTGAAAGATAATATTATATGAACCAAAGGTCTGAGTACCATAATTGCCTACTTTTTACAATCTAGTCGAAAGCACATTATAGTGATAAGATGTTGACTGTCAACACTTAAAAATATTTTACATTTTCTACTTTTTACAAAATCTCTCGATCCCCAAACTCACATTGTCTCCCCTCCCTCCCCCACTCCTTCAGTGAAAACTAGTTCTGAACTGACCTACTTCTAAAGATTGGTTAGGGGGGGGGGTTGGGAATCTTAAAAGAAGGCGCATTTGATCAGCGAAATTTATAAAAGAAACCCCAAAATGTCATCAGAGTGTTTTAAGGAAATTTTCAAATATATTACTATCCTTAAGGTAACAGGAAGTAATTGAGAACACTCTGATCAAAAGGGATGTCGATCCCCCTATTATATTTGTTTGATAATCTTTCCTCTGTTTGAAGGGTTCAGCTGTATTTTTCCAGACACGAAAAGAACACAAGGTAAAAGTTGATCCCTGATCTCGTTGCACCTACTAAATCTCAATCGCTAAATTATGCGCTTTTCTTATCTTATTATATAATTAACACTAATTTAAAAGACCTGGACCTTCGAAAATTATACAACTTAGAGTGGTATGAATTAATCAATGTTGTAAAATTTTACAACTGCAAGGAATGATTCAATAAATGTTGTAAAAAAAAAAACAGTATTACTCAGTCTTTTTAAAAGAGCACCGTAACCCACGTGTCTTCTCAAATTTTGCTTTACATCTGTTCTATCCAAAATTTATGAAAGACTGCGTGACACTTACATGGTTATCCGTACGGTTTATAACAAACTGCACTACTATGACGAGCTAAACCCGAATAGAAGTTTTATGCCAGCGCTTGGCCATCGGCCGGGATCACCTTTTGTGGTAGAGCTGTTGGATGACCACATTTCATGATAACAGGCACTGAAATGTGCCTTATTCCATGACTCGCCTCACTGAAGTAACATTCGTTTCGTGCAGAAACAGATGGCACGTGAAGATCATGCTTACTTCTGATTGGCTCTTGTGGGTCTTTGAGGTCTGGGATATTTGGGGTGCTCAGGTAGTTTGGATAAGAAATTACTTGGAACACTTCTCGCGTGGAAGAAGTCTTCTCGTGCTTCTCTGTAGTTTTTGATTGGTCCTCCTTCTCCAGAATCCCACTGTCGTAAAGATTTTTGATTGGCTTATAATTGTAAGGGAGATCTACAAATTTGTAGACTAACCGCTGACCACTGACCTATCATTTAAACGAAACAAAATTTGTAAATATAAGATGCATTTTAGTATCGGCTCTTTCTGAGTTGGCTTAAAATTGTTTTTTTTAAACACGTTATTTGATGAATCGATACGACCACACACTTTTTTGGTTTGTTTCTTTGAAAATGGTAATAAATAAATGCCAACTTTTAACGAGTTACGACTTTTCCTTAACATTATGGTCACCATAACTTGTCTACATCCCCTTTAGAAGCACATTTAATGGGAGTTATCTGTGTCTGTATCCAAAAAACGAGTTCAGTGTGTTTTGTGACTAAAAATCTTTACGATTGTTGCAGAGCCCCCTAAATAGTTGGTGCAAATCCCCCCTCAAGAAATAGAAGCATCTTGAGCTTACAAAGACAAGGAAAATGAAACAAAATGGTGAGCATGAATCCCGCTGGAACCTAAAATTCCCCTCTCTTTTTCCTTTACCAACGAAAACTGAATTAATTTCTAATTTTTTATTTACTTTGTCAACACGGATTATTAAAAAAAAATTCCACCTGCCTTTCTGATGATATTTTTTTGATAATAATATCTAAGGGCCCGGCTTAGTTTGTCATAATTCATTCCTGGTCGTTGTTTCAGTTCCCCCCAGCGCTTCGCAACTTCTTCCTGATTGCGAAGTTTGAACTCTCCTTTTTCACGTTTTGTCCACGTTATCAGCGAAGAGTATCTTTCATCCGCCAAAAGCTCCAATAAAAATTCCCACAAATGGACTGCACTTCGGGATGTTCCGCGTTTCTTGGGGAGAGAATCTGAAACTGTAATGTAAAAAAAAAGCGGAAATGTTTATATGATTTATTCCTACACGAGGAAAACAAAAGAGAGAACTTTAATTCCTCCTAACAACGTCTTTTACGAAGTTAATGACGCACATCCCGCCCACACATACAGTGTTTTCACCTCGATATACCTGAAAACATTGTTTTCAATTAATCCGGATTGACATTGAAAACAATGGAAAAGTTTGAATGAATGAACGGATAAATCCTCTTTAAATCGGTCTCGTATGAATTGTAGCACTCTAGTAAGTTTAAATATCAGCGAGCTTACATCGGGAAAAGTTTTAAAACTAGTTTTCCTTTGAAATTCGAAATTTATTCATAGTTTCTTCAATTTCATAATTTTTTACCAAGCGATTGGGTTAATTTTGTCTCCTTTCCTTTCATTAATTCAACAGAATTAAAGCACAATATGTCTTATGATAAATGCCAAGTGATGCCTTCAAACTGAAACTTAGAAAATCTGACATTTAAACTCGATAGATGTTCCTTGAAAGCAAGTACCTAGAAAAATTTTAAGGTTTTTTTTTTAAATAATGCGAAAGACTTCTTACCAAAACACCTTCAGACATTTATGACCTTAAAATTAAAATTGACTTTCTCCTTACAGATTTCAGATTATAGATTTCCAGGGATCTTTTCATGGGAAACAAAAGAAATACACGCGTTTAAAGTAAAGTAAAAAAGAATCATGTTTTCGATTCTTTGTTGGGCAAAACTTCAACAATCTGAAATGTTAAAACAATCAACTGTTTTTGTTTTAAGTAAATTTTAAAAAAAATCATGTTTTCGATTTTTCGTTGGGAAAAACTTCAACAATCTGAAATGTTAAAACAACCAATTGATTTTGTTTTTTGTAAATAGTTAAGATTAGAGTAAGCATATTCTCGACGCTAAAAAGATCCCGCATTTGACATTTCAAGGAATTTGAAAATCCTAATTTTTCGAAATTAAGGAGCAAAATTACGTAGGCCAAATTGACGAAGTTTTTTCCTGTCTTTACCTGAGCAAGTTTGCTTCAGTGAGTCCGCCATGGTAAATTCGAATTCCACACAAAGTGATTTTTGTCAAGTTGACCTGCACTCGTTTTAAAAGAACTAAGTCGGATAGGAAACTCTTATGTATCAACGGATAGTGAGCCCGCTTTAAATTATGTTGAGGGGAGACAAAATGAGTGCAAATGACCGGTAGGTGGTCAGAGAGGAAGTTAAACCAAAATACTAAAAGCTTGCGCGAGTTTCCTACGCACTCAGCTGCCATTCGGCAAAACAGAGGGCGAATGACGTTCGTTTGGGGCTTTAGGTGGCTTCCTGACGAACACGATGGAGGTTTTCTTTCTTATTTTCAAACCCGGAATATTTTTGTTAAAAAAAGTGCACCGTTTGTGCATATCTATTGATAGCGGCCTGAGTTTTGCTTGTTTATTAAAGAATCTCAGTATGCTATCGTTTGCGTGTTTCGAAGGATTTTTCCTTTTTCGCAAAATCTTAACGTTAAAAATTTTCTACGTTTAGTAGGGATTATTTTTCATCTCAATATGATTTTGATTGTTTTTTGTTAACAAGTCTACGTCTTTGGAGTATTTTATCCGCGGAAAAGAGTGAAGTGTTTGGTGATCAATTAATTTTAATGCGTCACTTCCATCGTGTTTCCTTCGTGAACTGTAATTTGTATTTCCTCTTTTGAAACTCAAATTAAGTCTATGTGCGCCGCATAAAGCTGACTAAAAGCATGATAACAAAATTAATTTACAGCGCGTACTTGTTGTTTGCATTTGCACATAAATGCATCTTAATTTAATTAATATCCAAAAATATATATAATTAATCCTTTCACTAACTTGTGGGTACTGGATTTAAGTGCTGAGCAAAAATGAACGCGCATGCGCTCTTTTATATTCCCCCGCCACACAAGCATATATACGCACACCCAGTTCGCCCACTGAGATATAATCTTATTTAGCCCGTAATAAAACAAAGAATGGAACAAAAAAAAGCGGAAAAAACCAAGGGTGAATGGGAATAGCTCTTCCTTGTTTCCAGGCCACGATTGAACCACACTTGGTGCAAACAAAAAAATTTTTAACGAAAAAATTGCTCGAAAAAGTATTTTAAAGGCATCATTATTGAACATGTTTTTAGCAGAATACAGTAACCTGTCAGCATCTTGCAGATCAGTCATTCATAACAACGTCAGTTTCGACAAGAAGTTGATCTACTCGACGGTGGAAAATAATGATATTTTTCTAAACTAGGTTGAAACGCTGATAATAGCTTCTGCAAAATTAAAGCATTAAATTTGTTAACCCTTTAACTTAACCCTTCTTCTTACTGTCTGATCAGGGAATTACCACAAATATCTTGCTTCCTACATGCATCGTTATTAGGCCTCCTTCACTCAAGTCGAACGTACGAGTTAGAGTCCATTATTCTCTTGCCTTCTCGAGAGAAGACGTTCGTTCATTTTTTCTGTGGCATAATCTGAGACAAGAGATTATGATCTCTTTCCGAGAATATTTGAATAAATTGTGGCATGATGCGTCAAAATCATGAAACCAGTGCTAGCGCAACAGTAAGCAACAGAGGGGCTCAATGCACTGGAATTTTATTTTCTATTTCCCCAATCCCGCTCATTTAATTCTAATTGCCCTCTCCTCTACGTGTGCCTTGAAAGGCAAAAAAAAAACAAAAAAAACAACATACCACCGGAGTCAGCCATCTTTAATAACGACAGAGCCGCTGCGTGATTTTCAGTAGTCGAATAAGTTTGCTGCTCAAATGGGAGAGGAAGCTTGACTGCAAGACTGTAGGACAGTGTCATAAATGTTTTTTTGTCTCTGCAAAAAAAAAAAAAAACTTTAAAACTGTCATTCATATTTCATTGTTTGATAAATGACACAGTCTTGTCACATCAAGGTACATCTTGCATCTTTCATCTTACCGTCTGATTTACATTTATTTGGATGGAAAATGTTATGGTTTATAGAGGTTTCGCCCCATTGCAGTAAAACAAGTTGCCCCCACCTTTGACAGTTCGCCCGTAAAATTGTTACGGCAGAACGTATTCTGTTGAAATCATAATTAAATGTTGCTCGAAACATAGTGTGGTAGGGGAAAACTTGAAATGGAGCAAAACGTCTGTGAACTAACGTTAGAGATAAAATAGAATAAAGTAATATTGCTGAGGAAAAAATGGAGACAAAACCTTCTCGTTTCAAACTTACAGGCTATTCTTATTAACAAAGCTGATGTTCCAAAATAAACAGTGATCTATAGAAAATCCTTGGTATGCTCTCATGTTGTAATAAGACGCTATAACATAGCCCCCTCCATCCCCCTCCTTGTTGAAGAAAATTCGCTGACGGCCGCACCCCTATGAGTTATCTTAATTCGTATCAGTTTAAATATACCATTGGCTCACCAATTTATCTACCCATATATCCCTGTTTCATTGCCTTAAAAAAGAGGCAATATGTTTTGGAGGCATCGAGTTAAGCTGAAGAACACACACTTATAAGGCCTCGCCAATAAGTATTATGTACAGTGGTTACCAGGCTCAAAACGGTTGACTTAAATATAGAGGAACTGGACGAATGTCACGAAATCGAAATGGGAGGCCAACCAAATCTTTCAATGAGGACTGATATTCGACTCTGACACGTCTTTGAGGAAAAAAAAACTGGTCTGTCTAACAAAAAACGTCTGAGAGCCGTTTCACTGTCTGTGTCGGGGAAAAAAAATAAGCATTTCGCGTCCTAGAGCTCCGAGACTATGCCGAGACAGTAATTCAACGAAGACAGCTCGTCGTTTGGCGATGAGAAAATGGGCACGCTGGTACGGCATGACATGCAAAGGCAAAATAGTTAGACGGATAAGGCTTGCTAATAACCTTTACGTCACTTAGCCAAAGAGTTTTTGACGGCGATGGAACTAGTAAGTCGTTTTTAACTTGTCTCAATACAAGATAAACGTGTGTTGGTGATGCTAAGAGTTGCGTTGAATCACCACACAGTTTTTTCTATATAATTGAGGTAAATCAGTGCTAATGTATCCTGTGATAGAGCTCGATTCAAGCTAAAATGGTTGAATGCGAAATATTGTTCCTGGTGAGGAATTAGAATATTAGCTTCCTAAATTGCTTCACTTTGATATCTTTCACCTGTTTCTTGATAATAACAACCTGTACACTCTCGAAACCATTTACCCATGACGATTTCCTTAAGGTTCAGTCAGTGTTTATCATATTAAAAGCCAAAAAACCAAGAAGAAATAACAGGCTCTTTCACTTTTAAGCATACTATTGAGCAAAACATCATTTCACCTTAAAATAATATGATTTAGGTCAAGAACTTGAAACCTGATTGCTTCCAGTGCAAATCATTCACCAACTTCGTCCGTCACTGTTTTGATCGGCGCAAATTTGTTTTGAAGCACAGTGTTCTATTTAGCTGTAAACATTCAGCTGCGAACCAGCTAGGTTAAATGTTTTACCCTTTCCTACCTTGAGACCCTATTATCTTCTACAGAATATCAGTGGTTCCCCGCAGACCAAGAGAACGAAACTCAGTAAACGAACGAGATATCACTGATTTGATAGCGAAACATTGCGATCCGGAAACATAAATTCTGCTTATATGGTATTTAAGGGTGTATATCTGGTCTATATTTCCTGTCTACTCTGAATCGAGGTATTAATCGAAAGTGAAAGCCCCAGTAATTCATGGATACAGTTTTTTGAACTTGGAATTTAACAAGAGGCGTGTATATCGTCGTGAAAATTTTACGAGCGAAGACATTAAAACGAGGAAGCTTTCAACATTCTGTTACCTGTTCTTAAAAAATGTAACTGTCTAAGCCTAAAATCGGTGAGATTCATTGGTTGATATTTCGTTTAGTTCGCATAGAAAATATCTTCTGCTCAACATCGCTCAAATCTCCACAACTATCTCCTAACATGTATTGCTAAATATTTCGGAGACATTAAAGAACTGGTCACGATTCTAAGTCGTTGGAGTGAACGTGACCTTATATACTTCCGCCGATTCTTCTGTTTACAGACGAAAATAAATCTTAATTCGCAAAATATACGGAAGCCTTCTCTGCGAAACTTAAAGTCCCCCAGTATTTAAATGATTTATTCCACCACGTCCGGTGACAGTGTTACATGCTACAAGCTTGAAACGTGCTGACAGTGTTTTACAGAGTTTTCGATTGTTTTGTATAGAACCATAGGTTGGGAATTTGCCATATGCTTTATAACTTAATTTTCAATTTAACATTCCGAAAAGGATTAGAATTAACGAACACAGCTAGGTCATAACGTATCTTTTTAATAAAAGGTTTAATTTCTTTAACCGAGTTTAAGTTTTGAGTCAGAGTGAAATTTATAAATTTATGTATATGCCATATTTCGAGTAAAAGTTTAATATCATTATACTGAAGTATTTCAAGCCTTTTTAGACTAAAATATACGTTCAACAGACAAATTAAAGGTAGTAGTAGTATTTGAGGAAAGCCACGAATGGGCTACAGAAGCCCTGAGGTTAGTTACCCTGGAACCTTCTGCATTAAAACAAACAATTCTCCCAATAAAGCAGGTTGATATAGCAACTAATATCATCAAAAAATGATGTAGAAGCACTTCCTACGTCAAAAAAAACAATAGGTTACAAGAAAAGAAAGAAAGGAAATTATCAAGAAGATAAACTGAGCTGCCTTGTGATAAAAGGCAGTTCAATAACATTAACAGTTTTGTGCCTGAAACAAAAGAGTTATTGTGCACCTGGACACCAATGACAAACATGAGCAATTACAAGCAGAAGATGAAATTTGAAGGTTAAAACATCGCATGAAATTAAGAGAGAACTGAAAGATTCTAACAGGCCATGAAAATCAAACTCTGATTAAAAGAAAACTTGGAATAGTGTGGCAATTTGCACCAGCCCATGAAAACAAAGGAAAGACAAGGTAGACTGAGTCATACCATGCTTTACCAAGTCAACCCAGGCCATGACCAAGCCATGCCATGGGATGGAAACTTTGCTACAAAAAAAGGATGAGAAAATATCACCCTAAGACAAGTTGAAAAACCTTGTCGTGGGTAACATGACTGGAAATTTTCTGTCACTGAACTGACACAACATATAAGATGTGCCATGCTGAAAAAAGTTGAATAAATAAAATTATATTTTGTACACTATACTATTCTTCTTTATCGTCCAGAACTGTAGATCATTAATTACATTTGCTCAATAAAAAAGAACCCTACATAGGTATTTTAAATGACCTAGAGAAAGAATTCTTCATTGTGCCTGAGAAACCTAAGTACCAAGAAGCTATGAGAGGTAAACAAAGACTGGACACTAGTGAATTGGGTCCCCCGCAGTTGAAACAGAAGAAGATCATTTCTTAAAGGCAATAAAAAAGTACCAATAAAATAATGAAAAAAAAGAAACTTATGGTATGGAAAGTTTGATGAACAGACCGCATGCAAGTGAAGATCTAACCTTGCTAAGCAGGTTATAAAAATGGAATCGTTCAAAGGTAGGAGAGACAAAGATCATCAGGACATTTTAAAAGCCAGAACAGAGCTCCATATACAAAGTGTAGGCTCAATCTTGTATTTAGATGACATCGCAAGTGGAACATAGGAGGAGAAGTCTGCGAAACAAAACTGAAGTGCCACGAAGTTACAAAGATGAAAACAAGGGTAAACCATTTAGAGCAGAGACCATCAGAGAGAGAGGGAAAGACAGAGACAGACAGACAGAGACAGACAGACAGACAGAGAGGAAGAAACAGAGAGAGAAAAAAAGAGAAGAGAAAAAGAAATAATCAGAAATTAAATCAGCTCCGATAATATACAGACACATTCCCCCGCAATAACTCAGGCCAGGAAGTGACAGTGTTTTTTCATGTAACTTCATACCAAATTTATAGATAATGGAGTCCACTACTTCTCTTGCCAGTTTTTTGAGTATCATTCCTTTGTAAGGGATTTTTACTAGTTGAGTCCACGAAACTACTAAGCTCTTTTCGTGTGATATTTTAATTTCATCATAAACAGTTTCTCCCTCAATAAGCTCAGCCATTGGTGTTAAAAGTAACGTCAGAAACTGACCCAATGACGAATTGCGTTGTTTCAGGTTTTAAACCGCGTGAATTGAGAATGTTAACAAAAAAAACTTAATTCATGTTTACAGTATTGCATAGATTAAACAACCATCCTTTCTCACAGCATAAATTAACTAGGGGAAGTGGTAAGCCCCTATTGACTTCACTCTACGTCACCAAGACAACAAGCGCTCCAACTCACATGGCATTGATCAAACATGGCGAACTTCCGTTCGTGACAAGAACAGATGTGTTTAACCTTTGATTTCACAAACAATTTGTACGTGCCAAATTCCTCTAAGGCCATGAACATGGTGAACGGAGAGAAATGTGTTTAGCATTTTTGGCTCTCTCATAAAAGTGCAATTTTTTGAAAATAAGAAAAAAAAACATCCTTGTAGTCTATTCCTTTATAAACACATGGTTGAGTTCCTTGCAGAATCCGATCAACGATCAGCGAGTCAGATTCTGTCCGTCGTTGTCTAGTCGCTGTGCTGAACGGTAAGAAAATACTAGGTATTATTTCTTCAAAGTGATATCTTTGTCAAAGTCGTAGTTTCAAACCTTAATTAAGTTTCAGCAGATAAAAGAAGGTGCTTTTAGCCTATACTTCAACAACAAAGTCTTCTTCCTCACAAACAATATCACTCACAAACTTGATGATTTAAGTGAGAACGTTTCTCGTTACACAACACTGAGTAAAAAGATAAACGAGACGTCGCGACGTCAAGAAGTCTAATGTTGCGTCTTCTTGACTGTAATTGTAATAATTTTCTAGGTTTTTAAAGGAAAGAGCCTTACGATCAAGACCAAAGACCGATGTTTCTCTGGCAGTAAAGTAACTCCAAGATTTACCGAAATATTTCTCACTTCCCTGATTCATGCCGACGAGGGCTTATTAGACGTTTTCAATAAATTTAAGATCTTCGAAATACAGGAACTACCGAAAAAACCGAGCAAAAATTTTCCCGATGAAATTTGCTATGGCGGAAGGATATGAACTAGGATGCATATGTTATTTTGGGGTAACTTGAGTTGTATTGATTATTAAGATCACAAAAGTGTTTCCTTCTTCCTTCTTGCTGTTCAGCAATATCGTGTTTAATAGATGACTCACCAAAGAGACAGTCTTATTTTTATTCAAAGGAACTTTCAGAAAAGTGACTTTTGCAAACAACAGTAAAATTCGCAAAGGTATTCATCCACATCTATTTTGAAAAACTTTATATCATGTCTTTTGTATATGGCATTTCGTTTTTTTTTCTAGCATACGTGACATACCACAGCATTTTTGCAACCTTGCTGGAAAGATGAAGTTACAATTCAGACAAAGGATCAAAGCGTGTTGTTATCGATAAAAGCAAACAATATTCTGTTGGCCGCGAACAGTCACCGCGCTGAACTAAGAAATGGCCGTAAATCTTCAACATCATAGCAATCTAAATATTCCGTAAGAAGCAATTCACTTAGCGTGTTTCTTCGCTTTCGTCTTTGATCCTTAAACTTCAGTGTGTGGCTTATCATATAGCCTATAGCTTGAGCTTAAAACCTCATTAGATTATTTACGAATCAAGTCTTCGAAGAAAGTGCCTCTGTGAGTCACGAAATTTTTACCTAACGTTTAACGAGAGAGGCTTTGACAGAAAAATAAATCCGACAGCACCAATACAATGGTCAGCCATAATATTAAGTAAAACGGATCCAGTAAATATCTCAAAGCGAGTAATTAAAATTGGTTAGTCGATGATTCAATTATCGACTTATTTCCTAAAAGAAACAACGTCTTCAAATTTATAGCCAGCTTAAAGAGGAAGCAGAAAGAGGCTGTGCTTATTTTATGGTAACTTACCAGCAAAATTGCTCCAAAAACCAGGTTTCAATATAGTTGACTGCGATATTTTCCTCCGAAGCGTGATCTTAAATAAACGAACACCATTTACTACAAAACATGACAACAAAAAAAGGATGCAATATATTCCAAAACTGGATTCAACTTTCTGAAGAAGGAAGTAGGAAATTAATGAGATTTCGCTTACCAGGATTAGCAACCTCGGAAAGCACTCAACCGGGAGATTGTGTAGAACGTGTAAACTGGAACAGGACGGGAAGAGAAGTGACTGTTTTTGGTTTATTTCTAGCTTTTGTTGTTGTTGAAGAAAACAACTTCCTTTTTTGCTCTTAGTCAAGATCAGTTTCGATTTCGGAGTGACCTCATATAAGCATCGCGTTATTCAAACGACACGTATTCGTTTGAGAAGATAGAGTAACAAACAACAATTATTCAGCATTTCTTCCTGAGAGGCCCTTTTTAAAAAGGACAAAACGTTCATTTTTTTTGACAGAAGATTTGATTTCCACCAAAAGGATTTGGAGCCACTCAGACATGATATTAATTTCCGAGTTCATACTACTGAGTAATAGTAACGATATCAAATTCCGGATTTCCAAAAATTTATTTTAAGAATCGACGTTTCGTAACTTACCGTCATGCTTACATGAGTAAAAACCTGTCTTTTTGTTTTCCACAGTATCTAAGCAGTTTGCTTAGTTGTTTTTAGATTTACAACACAAAACTACAGCTGTATTAAAGAAAAATGTTACGAAAACAATCGAAATGGCGGGTCACGCGCGATTAACGCGCGGGTCTGCGCGTAGAAGACTGCATTAGTTAGTTCCCTGCCGACGACGATTTTTGCGCGGGGTAAGTTTTATTGTGTTACTATTTTGGTTGTTTTTGATGGACAATTTTTTGAATAAAAATACGTAGCTTGCTCGGCCTTTATCTAAGGAATAAGCGAATTCAACTTACTGGCGTCACTACACGTGCTGCTATTGCAATAAAGTGACAGAATTTAGTTACTTTGATTTAAAATTCGGCTTTTATTTTGCCTTGTGATTTAATAAGGGACAAATTAATCTGTGTTAAGGAATGGCAGTATCATCGGCTGAAAAGAACAATGTGGTTGCCTTGCTTAAAGGACGAGAATTACTTCCGGTGTAGGGTTTGCCACTCCATCTCAAATGTTCCTAAAACTCCCGAACTTGCAGACGATGGTGACTGAATTTCCTGAATTAAAAATTACAATTTTGGAGGCTCGAAAAATGATTTAAATATAAAAATGTGCCAAGATATTCGAGAAAATCTAACCCTTTTTTTTGCTTCAATCAAGTTCTATTATTCTGCTTCATCTTTCCTTCAATATTCATCAGTTCCACAAAATAATATCCATTTTTGAACCTTTTATCCGAAGTAATATGACATGAAGTCTTCTTGACGCACTTTATCTTCCCGGGAAACGTGAATTTATTCCTGATTCGTGTTCTCTTAGTTTGTTTTCTGTGAACGCGAAAGATCAGTTTTGGGTACAATATACCTTCACAACAATGAATCATCTTAAAACATAGAGTTGACTTGGACGGAATATCCACGCTATTCGATCTGTTATATGCGATCAAAACTTACCAAGCAAACATTATAGAGTATGATATGTAATGGATCCAAGCGATACAATTTCCGGTTCTTTTTTTTGTTACTCGACTTGAAAGAAAGGATCGTGTTTTTAATCACTTTATTTCACTGTAATGAGTTGTCTAGCTGCTTACTTTTCAAGGGTATAATAAAATAATCGTTACAAATCTTGTTTAAACTAAGGGAATGATACTATCTTGTAAAATTTAGCCGAAAGTTTTAAGTTTAGTGTCGCACAATCCTTCATCATTTTTATTCCCTTTAAGTACAGTGTTGCCTCTTTGTTGTTTGTCTGCTTCAGCACATTTAGATTCAAAGGTTTTTTACCCGTTGAGAATAATTGTTAATAACCAAAAAGAAAACAAAGCAAGATATTGTGTTTTAACGCTTCGTTGGAACTTAATACGAATGATATTTCCAAACAATGATGTGATATTGAACAGTAATATCGAGTCCCTCAGAAGTTTTAGTTGACGAGTTTCGTTCAGAACTTCAGCGTTTCAGTAACATTTTTCTACCTTCAACTGGCATTTCAAATTCTCAGCGTTTATAAAACACGAAAAAGGTGAATCGATATAATAAATTTTAGTGTGGCGATGGGTCCACGACCTTGTAATTAACTGACGTTAATCACTTCAACATAGACTTTCAGTCTGTGCCCCCTTTAATTCGCTAATTAGTTCAGGGAAACGGAACTCACTGTGCGATGCATGCAAATTACAAATTTTTCTTAAAAGCGCTGAATTTGCATCTACGATTCCAAAACCATCGATGAGTCGACCGCTTGAAAGCAAAACCATTTCCATTTAGAAAAGACAGGAATATTCTTTGCGTTCTACGTTTGGTGTTCTTCAACACTGGTCTAATCTCTTTTCATCATTTCCGAAACGTCTCAAAAACTGACTAAGAAATAGAGTCCTAAGCTCACAGTTTCATAGATACGCATGATACTCAAAATAACACTCTATGGTGTTCACGGCCATGGGTGACGTAAATAAGTAATTGCCATGACTGACCATGCTTAATTTTCTTGGAGGCGTTCAGTTGTGTATTTGATTCAAAGCAGAATTTTGACAGCTTGCGGTCAAATCCACATTATATCATTCCTATACTACAGAAGGTCCTCTCTCGTCATATCAATCGCTCATTAGCTCTCTGTTGAAACTTGTATTGGTTCATCTAAAACTTTAGGTGATAAATTCCTCATACTACAAGTTTCCCGATCAAAATTCAAGGAATAAGTTCTTGTTTCGCGGGATACGAACGATCTTGATAAATTTGCCTCTACTTGGGGTATCCGTTCTCGGCCCCTTTGTCTAGATCCTATTATCCATCGTTAAGCTGCTTAATTAAGGGGGGTAGTCTTGTAGAGTTCACTTATAAAACCGGATTTCCCAGTGTAGTTATTCGATTCCATTAAAACAGCGTGACAAAGCATGGAAGGAAGTCTTGATAAGTGTAAAAAATAAATACGCTTTGTCTGAATCAGGGGTCATTTAGTTCGAATTGTAACGACAACTCTCCCTGACCCCTTCCCGGTCGGTGGAACATCATTTCTGAGAAATCAGTAATAAATCGTTAACTGTGACAAACATCAAATTACAAGTAATCATAAATCAAAGCAAAATGCGTAAGGGCAATGAAGCGCAACCGGCTCTTGGAGAAACTTACGTCTTAACAAAAGGTATTGGCGGAGTAGAGGCGGACGTGCGTGAAGGAAAGTACAGGAAAATGTAAAGTCTCTATCAATAAAAACATTATAACAGGAACTCAAAAGAGCTGTGTAATGGTGGTTACAAAAATGATTGTGTAATAACGGTATTCTGTTGCTTAATTTTTAAAAATGATTTAAGATTTGTCAGATTCTTATATTCTCCCTCTTCCTAGTCACCATCAAATGTTAAGCTGGCGACCGCAAATGCTCTTATGAAACGTATGGCTTATGTGACACAAGTGTTTTGCAGACATTACTTTGAGAAATCTGAAAGTTGTTGGTTAAATCCGAGCATTTAGTCGTTAGGAATGAGTTCATTATTCAAGCTTTTACCACGTCAGTAGCCCAAGAGTTAAGGAATCTTTCCTCAATTAAATAAACTTCTTTGACTGCTCCAAAGCAATGCGGGGCATAAGATATTTATAACAAGTATTGACTGTTTCAAAGTGGAAACCGTAAAGAAGCTGAAATTCATACCATTGTCGCGTACGAACTGACATGGTGCGCAATTTACTTAGATTCGAAACTCGAAAAAGATGCCACCATGTTTCGCTTTAAACACAGCGAGGCAGGTGCGAAATAATTTGCTAATGACAAAATATCTAGCAAGCGTGTTGATGTTGCATTACGTGACAAAAGTGAATTTATATTCTTTAGCGATGCTTCCTTTCGTGTTTTTGCAAAAAGTCATTTGCGTAGCTACAAGTTCTCTTAAATCCATGAATAGTTAAGAATCACTTACCGTTTGGTCACCAAATAGCAGAGGTTTCATGTAGAAGCGAAACTGTCGAACCGTCTGTCTATCCTAGTCGGTACTTCCGCCTTGGATCGTGTCACGTGATTAATACGAAGCCGAGTGCCGGAAGTTTACGTTAGTTGTCGGAGTTATTAAAATTTTTACTCGGCCACGACCACATCAGATGTTTTAAACATCAACAAAATTAGCACCATTTTCCGCTCCGCTTGTGAAGAATAATTTTGTGGTTTGCAAAAAATGGTTCTCTTTGTATTTCCGCGTTTGATGAAACGAAGCACGTACGCTGCTGTTGATTATAGTTTGCCGGTCTTCGATTGGCCAGTATTTAGGAAACGTGGACTAAGCGACACGCTGAAGCCGAGAGAGATTATGTTAGGATTATTCATTTCAGGCGCTGAAGAACTCGTTTTTTACACTCCGATAGTCAATTTACGGAGATGACTGAACTGAAATATTTTAAGAGTTTTGGTTTCTAAAACCGCGTCGAATTTGTAAGCAAACAAAAATAGATGACTTCAATCAATATTTTCTATCTGAAATTTGCACACAATAACAATGGGGTCCGTTTAAAACAGAACAGATTCGACATCTCTCCAAATATTTTAGAAAATGCTTCAGAAAACAAACCAATTTCTATGCATTATAGTTGTTTGAGATAGGCATTGAAAGATTTATATTAATACTGTATGAAGTAACGCAATACCGTTTTATTGATATGTCGCGATGCAATCGACGATCTAAATGCTCCAAGTATAGAAGTAAATTTTAAAGAAATTAGAACTTATCTAAAATCTAAGTTATATTATCTCGTCAACCTATACAATTTTTTTGTTGCACATTATTAATTTGCAAGATTCCTAGAACTAAAATGAATGGAATTGCCGGGAAATCAGAAAGGAGAATTGATATTTCGAAATATAGATCTTTTTCTTCATCAAGTTCAAGAGCTAAATGAATTACAAATTTAAGTTTACTCACCTTAAACACTCACAACAAACGGACGAAAACGCACAAGCGTATCACCATTTCCATACGTAATTTACTTGTCAGAATGTAGACACGTGGGTCCGTTGTTTGACACGTGAATTAAGTACCTCTGTCGAGGTCATTGTGTCTGTTAAACGAATACACTGGAAATGACTCCTTTTATAATAACAAAATTGTCACACAATACAACCTTCCGCGTTCGGTTATTTCTAGGAACGAGATTTATCACTTCCTCTTTTCTTGAAACCCTAAAATGGATCATCGTGAATTATTGTTTTTACTCAGATTAAGCGGAAGCCGAAGCTGGTAAATAATTTATTCGTTCATATCATTCTACTTCCTTTCTAGGTCTTGAACGTTCTGACATATTAATTCGCATAACTTGTTTTGCTTTTTATAACAGAAAACAGAAGACTGTTTCGCTAGTTTCGTACTCTCCGGTTGTTATTGTAGAGGCTAAATTATTGACTTCGTGTGGTAATTTCCAAGAAGCTACACAGGTCTCGCTCGGGCGAAAGAAACTAGAACGTGATAAAACGAGATTCTTAGAATGAAAGGAACAATGACCCGACACGTTGCTGTCTGCAAAACAACGTGACATTGCCTTTATTTCCGTGTTTTTCAAAACGGGAACCTTGACGACAAAATTTCATGCTTCATTTCGACTCATAACACTTCTTAAAACACATCTCTTTAGACAGACATTTTCATGATTGATTTTATAGTTCGTTTTCATACTTTTTTTTAGTTAGTCAAATTGTATATTCTTATCCTTTTATAATTCGTTTTCATATTTTATTTTGCTTAGTCATATTGTATAACGCATTAGATCATATCCGCATGTATTTTGCGCTATATAAGTAATAAATTATTAATTATTATTACAACTAAACCTTCACAAGTTCTTTAGGGCAGACTTTTGAGCTCAATAAATAAAATGAACTTAGGCAAATGACAACCATTTTTAATTCGCTGTTTTCCTTAAGAGAGTCGCTGTCGCGATTGATGAAGCCCTCAAATCCTCACGTACAACGGACGTCATTAATAACCCATTAATTTGAAACGAGGGAAAGATTGTTCATTTCGTTTTTGTTGTTACATCATAGGAAATTACATAACCTCACTTTTGATTACCCGTTCGCGAAATTGATTTGGGTCGAGACGTTAATGTGGATTGTATAAATTATGTTTTGACGCTGAGGTAAAACCGTTGTGAGCAGTCGGCCATGAAGAGAGTTTCGCTGACTGATTATCATCCTGCAGGTGATGGTTCTTACTATCAATAACTCCCATGAGTGACCAAGACAGAATTTCTCCTTATATCACGATTTCCCCCTATATCAATATCGATAAACTCTTCACATCCACTCCGGTGAATAATTGTTAATTGCTAATGAGATCTTGGGAATTAAATAGAAATTTGATTTGTGGTTATCTTTCATGACGGTGTCCAAAAATGATTTATTTCTTAAGTTGTTGAAGAGAAAACCGCTATGTCATTGTAAGTATATACCAAATGCTTTTCGGCGAGTGAGTTTTCTATGACTGAAAGGGTTTCAGTTTCCTTTAAGCAAGTTTATAAGCGTGTATTACTTGAAAAAATGCAGGACAATTTCTTCGTGACATGAAGAACAAAAGCTAGGCTAACTTTTTAATGAATCAAAAAAGTAAATAACTAAATGATTTGAAATAAACTGATATTATGTATTTCACCTGTATTCAAATGTCGGAAGTATTTAGTAAGTGTTTGTATTAGGCCATTTCTAATAATAGGCCGAACAGACTGAAAATACATCTTACAGTTACTGCGTTAGGGTATCAGGCTGGAAAACAGAAAGATTTTAATTTATTCACAACCACTATTGCTGTAAAACAAGGCGAATATTACAGCTAATTAACTAAACATAATCTATCGTTGTGTTTAAGTAGAGCGTTTTTCGACTGAGTGACGTTTAACCACAGCCAAAGTAATTATAACAGCCAATTAGGAAAAGGTGAATGACACAAGGAGCCAATGAGAGCTCGAAGTAAAAGAAGTAAACAGCTTGAAGCGCGGGAAAACGCGGCGACCAAGTCATAATTAGTTTTAGTTTTGAATTTGATTGGTTGAGAAAGTGGCGCGAGTTTTTTTTTTTTTAAACCAATTAGTGAAGCAAACCAACACAATCACAGATTAGTTTCGACAGTAACCTTGAAAATTGCTCTTGACGCTCTAGTGCACCTTTCTAATAATCAAATTATTGAAAAAATCTTATAATAGTCATGTAAAGCTCACCAATTTTGACAATATATTTTGAAAGTAAAGATAGCGCGCAATTATTGAGAGGTATATAGTATGTAACGCCATCGAGATTAATGTTAATCACAGTTAATGAAAAATTCCTTGCTAAAATGGTTTCAGCAACATGAAATGACTGGTACACGACTTTTAAAATAAAACTGATATGAACCGCTGAACACATTTCGAATAGTTATTTCCTGATTCCCCGTTAAGATTTTTCCGCATTACACTGGGCTTCTTTTGTATTTTCAAAAGAAATGGAGATACAAAGTGATAGCGGACTTTCAAATCATGAAAATACAATGACTATTTGGTGAAATCGTCGAATTCACAGACATCTTAGAGGTGTCAAAACAACATGCCAACTAGTATTCGAATTTCCATTTCTTTCTATTGGCAAAGAAATTTTCGAGGCAACACCAATCAGTATGAATTATCGAGGGAAACTCCACTTCGAACACTGGAAAGCAGGTGAAAAATATGAAAAATATAATATTCTCTCACTGTAACGTAATGAACTTGATAAAGTTTTGTGCACGGAAATTGTGCCTTAAAAGCAGCCTCCAAAACTCTTAAAACCAAAGTCAATTTTTATTCATGAGACAAAACAAACCACAAGAGATAAGAAACGAAAAGTTGACAACTCACGGTTTTTAATGATCAGATGGAAATTCAACTGCAGACAAAAAAATTGAAGGAAAGTTCTAAACTGACAGTATGCATTTAGCAAATGTCTTTCGCTTGTATCGAGTGATTGGATTTCATCGAGTCCGACGATGCTCTAGCATATTCTTTGGCATACCACATAAACATTATTGAGGCTTTGTTAATTAAACTTTTCGCTCATTGGTCGAAATAACTTGTTTTTAAATCAGATAGTTCTTTACAACCCCCTCTGAATAAATTACGAGGAAAGGCTGAGAGAGAGCGACAACAGGTGTACATTAAACATCAATCACAGTTTACGAAAATTCATTTAAAATGTTTCAAGACCGGGTGTGAAGTTCTGGGTTTCGCAACGTCTTGTTTATAGCTTACAACGGAAATTTCATTAGTTTTGTCGCTTAAGATAAAGTCTCGCCAGACAACGGAAGCTTCAGAACAACGTACAGACAATCACTGCATTGGTTCAAGATCACACCACTTGAATTTTTCGCTGCAGTGAATCTGGTTACATAATTTTATTTATTCTTCACAAATACGTCTTCAACTGCCAAAAAAAAATCTTTTCTGGGCCGAGTTTGAAGAAATTTAAGGAATTCTTTCACCATTTAGAGGATTTTTGCATTAAGATTAGTGCTACAAGTTTACTCGTGCTCCGACTTGGAAGGCTACAGACATGAGAGTAGGTTTAGATTCGTCCTCCGAAGAGGATGAACCTCTATTTAATATGGAGGATGTGGAACAAAGAGCGTTTGAAAAAGACAGGGATCTGCCCCTGTGGAAGCGATTTCTGATCACGTTGAAAAAACTGGGAGAAGACAGGAACAGTTTGAAGTCCACACTTTGTTATTGTGGTGTGTTCATGGTATTTGGAATGTCAGATGAAATTCTGGGTCCTACTCTTCTCGAGCTCAAATGTTTAACTGGAAAGTCTATCACCCTCATGAGCGTGCTGTTTTTTGTTCACGATTTGTGCAACGTTTTTGGATCAACATCCGGAGGATATTTAGTCGATCGGTAAGTACTGTTAAAATTAGAACGGCTTTTGTAAGTTTTCGTTTGTTACTGTTAGCTGTATCATTTCAGGAAACAAAATTCTTGAAATCCAAAATTAGGAGTGCCCTTTCGGCGCGTTCTAAGAGGTTGATGCACATCACACGATTTTAAAACCGTAATATTTTCGAAAATGGCAAAACCTCGGCCTAGACAATCTAAGCAAGCTGAGAACTCTTCTATTGTCGATTTTAGTAAGTAGTCTTGCAAGAAATTAACAGCTAAACTCGCATAA